TTTGAATGCTTACGGCTGCCCGCCCTTGGATCCGGATGTGTTGTTGGCCGTGGTGCAGAAGGTGCGCGAAGAGAGGGCGTGCGTCACTTTGGTCGTGCCATACTGGACGGCGCAACCTTGGTGGCAGTTGCTGATGGAGCTGCCGGTGGACATAGTGTTTCTCCCCTCGAACACGGAGCTGTTCGCACCGGGGGAAGGGGGGTCGAGCCGCTTCCTGCCGCCCCCGCAGTGGCAGGTGGTGNCGGTACGAGTGCAGTGATCGACTGGGCCCTCCTGCGCGGCACACGCAGTGGTTCTGCCCCGGTTCCCCGTTATGCATTAGACTTTCGTGCTGCGGCTGCTCCCCCGGTTGTCACGAACCTGTTAGTGAAGCAGCTGCAGGCCGCCGCCCCAGGTCAGGACCACTCGGCTCGCCTGGAGCAGATTGCGGCCGTCATTGTGTCTCGAGTAGGCTCCAAGACTTGGCAATCGTATGCGTCTCATTTCGCGGCATTCGTGCGTTTCTGCGTCAGTGAAGACCTTGAGTTCTTGCCGGCGTCCCGGTATACCGGGTTGTTGTGGGCACAGTACCTGGCTGCCCGTGGTTCTGTTCGGGCTCGCACCGCGCAGCCCTACTTCAGCGCGGTTAATACAGTGCACGATTTGTTAGGGCTGGCTAAGCCGTGTGATGGGGATAATGTGCTGTTGTCGGCGTTCCGTAAGGGCTGGGAGCGGCTGCAGGTCTCACTGGCCCCTACCTCGTCCCTTGTCCTCGCCTTCAGTGCTTCGGACGCCTGGAGGCTATACGACCGGCTCCCGTCCGTCCCGGTTGCGTCGGATTTGTTTGTCCCTCTTTTGTTCGTCGTCCTTGGCTTCTGTCTATTTTTGCGTCCCGACTCCTTGCTGTCTGTCGTCTGGGCGCGGGTTTCGGTTGTTGATGAGGAGCCTGTGTTTCAGTACAAGCCTTTGCACTGGAAAGGCCAAAAGAGGAATTGCCAAAGTCTGTAATGGGTGTGGTGTAATTTGTGTGGAGCGTTGATGGAAGGAAGGTCGTTAGATGCATTTCAATGCCGTACATGTTTATAATGCGACTTGAAGAATTGGACGTAATGTTGCGAAAAGGAATGGTCGAGAGGAATATAGGGTGCTTGTTCAGAAGTGGTGGACGATACAGTTTTTTAATAATTTTCCGCGGCTGAGGTAATCGCTCACTTGAATGCCACGAGAAATGTATGAAATGACGGGCATATCAGGGATGTAATTGGTGTGTCGCGCTGAAACAAGGGCAGGACATTCTAACAAGAAATGCCTGTTATTCCAAGTCGTCTGCTGCTGGTTACCCTAGCGGACACGCTAGACGTGCTGCGTCTTCTGAGTCAGCAGCCATTACACTTTTGCCAGGCTGGGCAACATGCAGTCGTATTCGACACGTTGTGATGAGTATAACGTAAAGGAATAGCAATTGGTTCATGGGCTGTTACACCATTTGCGGCACATATTCATAAAGGACGAGTACCGAGTGTGACCCTGCCGTAAAAATTAGCGCAGCGGCTGGTTTGTGGCTTGAGCCGCCACGCCAGCTGTGATGAATAGTCAGTCTGTGTCAACACAACACTGATGCGAAAATATTCCGAACCGAATTAAGTAAGAGCCGCGCGAGAGGCGCCACCAAGAATGGGTAACACGGGCGCCAC